CCCCGCCATTAAATTATGTACGCTCAGCAACAAACATAAATCAAAAGGCTCTGGCAGGAAGACTGCAGTTGCATTTCCCCTCACAATAACATAAACCATCAACTCCTGACCCATTAAACACCCAAAAGCTTCCAACACTCAGCATATATATACATGTTTACCAGACAAAAGCACACAAACAACTTACAGCATTTTCGGGATGGAAGATGTATGACGCAGGTGAATTGTCCACAATAACAACCTGGTTTAAGTCTCGACCCAACCGACTGAGGTCCTGGGGGAATGAAGGGAAAACAAGAGTTAGTCAAAACAGAACAATAACAAACAAATGTGGCAAAACAGTCGCCCAGAAATAAAATTGGGATAAAATGAACCTGAAGAACAAATAGTTTTGTTTCTTTAAATAAGCTTTAAAAAATAAAAATGAAACACCTACAAAAGGGTCTTTCATTCATTTGTTCAGGCCGAAGGGCTAGAACTCAGATTAGATAGCAGCTGGATCGGTAAAGTAAAGTAAAGTAACGTACGAGGGGGGTTCAAGAAGTCTTTGGTCTAAATATGAAGGAATAAAGATAGAGCTTTGTAACTTGGCACACATACTTTCATTTCTCTGCATAGTCACCATGCCGAGTAACACATTTCTGCCACCTCTCTTTGATCTTCAAAAGTCCTTGAGAAAAAAAATGACCCAGAATGGCCCCTAACCAGTCTTCCACAACTTCAATGGCATCCTCATTGTCATGGAAACGACGTCCTTACAGTGATTTTTTAAGATTAGGAAACAGAAAAAAGTCTTGAGGGGGCTAGGTTCGGTGAATAAGTTGATTGTGGCAGGATTTCAAAGCCGCACTGTTCTGCACTGTACTGTTTGTTGTGCCTTGTGCGCAGGGGTGTTGTCATGGAGTAGGAGGATCCCATTATGGAGTTTTACACGCCTTTTTCTCACCAATTCGGACTTCAGGTTTTTTTTTAGCAAACTCGAATAGTAGTTCCCTGTGACTATTTATCCATTTTCCAGGTAGTCAGCCATAATGACACCTTCACAATCCCAGAAACACGACAGCATGACCTTTTCATTTGACAGTGTTACCTTTGCCTTCTTTGGTGAGGGAAAAGAAGGGGTTTTCCATTGCATGGGGGACATTTTTTTGTTCTGGATCAAAATGATAAATCCATGTTTCATCCATAGTCACCATGTTTTTAAAGAAATTTGTGTCTTTGGACTCAAATCGAAGGAGAGTTTTGCAGGACTCAACCCTCTGCTTCTTTTGCTCACTTGTCAAAAGTTGGGGTACTCACCGCGCAGACACCTTATTCATGTAAAGATGGTCATGGAGAATTGTTTCAATTGACCCTACACTGATTCCCCTTTCACTTGAGAGCTGTTTAACAGTTATACTTCAGTCTCGTAAAACTAGTTTCTTCACTATAGATACATTCTCTTCAGTTACTTCAAAGGATGGGCACCCTTCCCGATCTTCATCCATCACCGACATGAATTCAGATTTGAATTTTCTTACTCAGTATGTCACAGTATATGACGAGGACATTTGTCATCATAAACTTGGACCATTTCCTGAAAAATATCCGAAGGGGATTTTCCTTGCAAGTGTAAAAACTTGATAACTGAGCAATATTTGACAGGCTCCATGGCACAGCTTCAGCAAAGAAAAACTAAGGTTTTCATGTATGGTTTCACTGAACATGCTGCCAAGTGCCTTATTATTGTTGGAATTTCCTGAATTTGCATGGTGGGTTCCAAAGAAATTGTCTAAAGGCTGGCGAAATTTCATTACTCTACCATGATTCCTTCATACCCAGATCAAAGACATTGAACCCCCTCGTACAGAAAAGTACAGAAAAGTAATGATTCATTTGTCAAAAAATAAAATGATTTGATACTAACGAGACAGATGATGGGAAAAGATACAAGATGCTGGAAGGATATAAGGAAATCAGCATCTACCAACAATATGAAGAAGGAGTCAGCATGCTGCATCTGTACTAGAATCTCTCTGGTTCCCCTCTGTTCCCATCTGTCTCTGGGAGAACAAGCAAAAACTCCTCAGACATAAATCTCCACCTTCCCATCTTTTATTTGCAGGTCATGAAGGCTATCCAGCTGCATAAATAAGGTTTGAGAACGCTCAATTTAATCCTTTTGGTATCGTCCTACATTCTTTCTTTCTTGAGCATAAGCTGCTTAACATTCACAAATTTGTTAGCAGACAAGAACAACAATTTCTTGACTTCAGTTCCACCAAGTCTCAAAAACATTCTTAGAGTTAGCATGAGCCTGATGATGTCTGTCACCATTTTATTATTTTTTGAAGTTCAAGCAAGTATATAAGCTTTTACTTGAGGTCCGTTTCAACGTTACACAATATATACATGAGATTGAAAGAGCAAGAAAAAAATTTAATGTAGTTCCACACATGTGAGGAGTGCAAGAACACACACACAAAGACGGAAAACATTGATGTAGAAAACACAGGCATCTCTTACTTTGACGTAATTCCCCCTATGAAAGACACAAGATTCCCTGAAGAGGCGACATCGGAACACGTTCCACTTGTCCAACAAATCCGCTACTGGATCTGCATACTGAGGAGCAGACAGACAAACATAAAGGATGAAACTTCACCATTACTGCCACAGCAGTTGAAAGCTATAGCCCAGATAACGTCAATACACATAAGCACTGGAGTTAACCACTTAACTCCCAATTGACAAAAAAAAAGGTGGAACTCCAATATACACACATCAAGGCTTTGAATACAAAGTAGCTAACTTTAGAAAAACCTTTCTCACAGCAGTCTCAAAAGAATCCTATAATGCCCATTTACTTTTCATACACAAAGAAATTGGAGACAACATTGAGGGGGTTGGCTTCTATGGTAAAACTACAAATATGTCTAACGTTAAACATTTTGTTGGACGACAATACAATCTAAAAAACTTATTTTAGTCTTAGACTACCATGCTGTACCCAGAACCAAAGATATCTACGCTTACAAAGTTGTTTATCACCTGCAGAGACATAGATGATAACCTATATTGGAAACAATCATTCACTCTATCTGCAAAGTCAGTCACCTACACAGTACACAATGCTGACCATTCCCACAGGGGTCATCGTCCCCCTAAGGAGATGCATTTAAGCTACATAAGATTAGACAGTATCATTACACAGTAATGTAACACGACCATGATCATAAGTGACCAGAGCAGAGTCTCCCATCATGTAACCTGATTCCTACTTAGAACAGATTTTTATCAACAATCAAATGTAACAATACAAAATAAAATAAAACTCACGGAAGGAGTTGTCATTTTATACAATACTGCATAAAGAACAGCTGCGCCTTATTAAAAACTACCAATGTTTTACAGCTTGACCACGCGATTACTAAGAGGTAAATTACACAGTCATGCTTTAAAGCTGTACTCAAGATAAAATCGGATCAAGTTGGTTAATGGCAGTGCTAGTCATCAGTGCCTTTCACCCCTGGCAGGGTACAGGCCACATACAAGCTCCTTCCATTTATCTCTGTCCTGGGCCATTCTTCCTAGCTCGTGGGAGTGCCAGAGTATACTATATACAGTTGGCCTCCGTTTTGCTGCATAAAATTTGACCCGAAAGACCACAAGGGCCAATCGTATTCATGTGCAAACAAAAGATGACTCTGTAACGCAAGGCAGCCTTCCAATTGACTATTTTCATCAAATGTATCAAACGGTGATTAAGAAAATCAAACACGTATGATTTAGGAAAATTTGATGAAATTGTGCCAAAATGTTAGCTTTCATCCCTCTGTGAAGGAAATCCTGGCTGCCCTCAAATCTATCAAATAGAGAATTAGAGATGCGACGAAAAATGTATCTACAACATGCACTGGGCATTACCTTGGCGAGGCTTGCTGTGAAGAGCACACATTCGAAAAGCTCCCCCATTCGTTGCAAGAACTCGTCCACATGCGGCCTTTTCAAAATGTACACCTGAGAAAAAAAATACAAGTAGATGAATGAATAAAAGCTAAAAAAAACAAAGAAATGTGCATCTCCATTTTAGACAACTTGGTGATTGTTTCTATCTATGGGACAGAAATAAAGCCTGTGATATTGCTATGTGTTTTTTTAAAAAAAGACATGATAAGACTGCATTTCAATAAAATGTCTTTAAGCCAAAAGTAAGCTAATTTGCTGCACAAAACACATTTTTTTTAAAAAGCCCCCAAGGTGAAATTTCCATTTGCATATCACCTAAATAAGGTCAGACAATCCCACTTCGAAAAAAAGCATAATCTCGCCTTTAAATAATGAAGACATATTTTTTAAAAAATGAATTTTTCAAGACTTAGGAAAGTTATTTCCAGTAACTTGAGCACCTACTTTGACAGACAGCAGAAAAAAAGAGCATTACTCAGCTTACTGTCCCAACTTCACAGGTCGAGTCATCTTACAGTCACACACAATCAATAGTGTGCTGAAAATAATGGTACGCCATAAAAAAACCAAAGTAAAATATCAATAAAAGGCAGTATCAACTGTCTACTTTTTTTTTGTCCTGTCTCCCTTCTTTGTTTGGTGCAGAGTGTCACCATTGAGTTGGGGTTTTTTTCATGTGCTTCATAGTGTTAGTTATACCAAACATAACCGATAATTTTCTTTCCCTCATTGAGTCAAGAAAAATGATAGAACAATGTTTGCTGCCATGAATAAACGATATGGTGTGTTTGACATTGTTGATAGTGATAATGTAGGGTAGGAGTTATGAAGACCTTTATGGTATTCCACTGCTGCTGCTTTCCAACTTTCTAAAACTGAATGTGAAAAGAGTGGGACTTTAGACACAAAGACACATCCCTCATCATTCCCCATCCTCCTGCCCCCTCACTCCCCTATTGCAGATTGTGTAAGCCAAGAGCTGGAGGTTGCACAACGCTGTAGGAAAAGCGAGCTGGCAGATTTTAAAAAATTTGTAATTTTTTTTATTGATGGGGAAGACATCGATTTACCACATCACCACAACCTCACATGCAAAAATCAAGCTTACCTGATGTACTGTGCCATCAATTTCAACAGGGACGATGAAATCAGCATTGTTAATGGGCTGTGAAGAGAGAAAAATCAGTTGTCTTACTGAACTAGCAGATACAAAGTAGGTTTTTAATTAGCGACACAAGAATAAATCAAGAGGAAAAGTGGGTATAGAAAGAAAAAAGCATAATATGTATCAAGTAAACTACAGGATACACCCACTTCCATTTGAAACTGATCATATAGTCAAGGAGTTTACTTATGCTGTTAATTGTTAAGAATACATTCTTTACTTTTCTATTCTTGAGCTTCCAAACAGTATATTTCTTCACATAAAAAAAAATGGCCATAATCCTTTGACAAAAAGGAGGGATTTGATTGCTTTTGCTAACAATACTTTATATATGAAAGGAAATAGTTCAAAAGACCCATTTGAAATACATATCTACTTAATTTACCCTGCAGGCCACTTTATTCCATTGCACTTCAACGAAAAAAAACAACAAAAAATGTCAGCTGCACTGATAAAAGATTTTTAAGTACCTGCCCTCTCAGGTCATTCGCTTACAATCAAATCATTGAAGAAGCGGACAGAACTCCATAGTGTTTGCTTTACAGGAGCTTGTTGCCCCGAAAACATTGTTCAGTGGTGCTTACCTTAAAGGAACTATGTACAAGGGTCTCATCCAGGTCTATCACCACACACTTCTTGTTCATATCTTGATGCCGGACAGTCGGCAACAGGTACTTGTCGCAAGTCTGCACACAAACACATGGGGGAAACTCATTATTGGATGAATAACAAAACTCGGCCCAGAGATCTTTTAGCTACCATTTTCATGTCACAATTCAACTTCTTCCTACATATGATTTGTATCTTAATATAGATGAAACGGTACATAATGAAACTTCAGGCAATCCAGCAAGTCTCTCTTACACTGAATAAAAATAAACATTTAATGCAGGAGACTTTACACCCCTATCTACACAATTTTGATAATTTTAGGAATTGAACCTCAATCCTGTAAGTCTGTGCAGAAAGACAAAAATTTCTATAAAAATTCTCCCCACACAGGAATCAAACACTGGTCTTCTGCATGCATCTGCAAAGCACCTAAAAACTACACCACAGACACTGGTAACAAATCTGTACTATGCTGTACGTCGGAAGAGAATCGTGCCCAGCACAGTAGGGAAACACACAACTCCCACAGGGTATTCAACCAGACAGAGGACATTCTGACCCTCTAGAACCTGAACTGGATTACAATGTTTAACACGGTAATCAAGTTCAGGTTCAAAATGTTTTGTTTTTTTAACTACCAGAAATGAGGTATGGAAATAATAATATCATATCAGATAGATAGAGTCCACTCTTATTTTTAGAGAGATTTGTGATGGGTCTATTTCTAGAAGCAAGGTCTAGTTTGATAGAGAACACTGACTTATAGTCAGTCCATCAAGGTTAACTATTTTTCAGATATCATGATCTAAATGTGGCGTCGGTGGCCTAGTGGTTAGGCTATCGGACTTGTAATCGTGAGGTTGCGGGTTCGGGGGTTCGAGCCGCGGGCCCGACGTTGTGTCCTTGAGAAAGGCACTTTACACAAATTTTCCCCACTTCACCCTGGTGAAAATGGGTACCCAGCAATAGACAGTGAAAGATCTTGTCAGTTTGTTAGTGTTTGAGCGCCTAACCAGCTGCTTGCACTGCATGCTTCCCGGGAAGCTGAGAATGTTTCTGAGTGTTCTATGGTCTGCTGGGGTAATAATATAATGTAAAGCGCATAAAGCTTGCTTTCGAGTGGGGACATGCGTTACACGAATGCTATTTATTTATTATTATTATTAAATTGAATGTGTGAAATATGGCTCCCGTGGTCCTAGAACTGACACATTTCTTTCCCTCTAGTCTCAGAGACTCAAACCTCTCAGACAGTTTACTGCCCTGTGGCTTGGTTTACTTTCTATTATTCTGTCATACATGCTCACCATTCTGCAGAACTATTAACACTTTGCCATCAAAAGGCTCATATAGTAAAAACCCTTGTCATCAAAGGCAAAGAGGCATTTTGGGGAAATTCTAAAGAAACTGGGAGGTAAACATCGCCCATCGGCGAGATGTGATGACAAAGTGTTAAACTTTTTACATATCTAATAACCAACTCAAAACTTTTTCACTGGTAACTAGCAGACGATACATGTTCCTTAACACCAATATGAAAAAAACATTTTTAAATAAAAAATACAAAAAAACAAAAAAAACCAACATATGTACTACTTTAAACAGCAAAATAGTGTAAAATTTGTCAACATGATTAAACTTAATTTCCTTTTCATCATGTAAAATATTGTTTACTCCAAGAAGTCAAATTTACAGCAATAATAAAGGGAAACTAGGCACTGTCATGATGGAGGAGAGATAAGGACGACAGGTGATTGATAGAAAAGAAGAAGCAAACCACACAAGAGCACTCCCCAACCACTTGCTATGGAAAGGTGAGCAGCCTTCAGTAACCTGCACACACACACACAGACAGACAGGGAGGCCGTAGACAAGACGTACCCTTGGGTTCCCATTCTCCTCAGTGACTGGTGCCTGACAGTTGCTGCCCGCCGGAGGGTTGTTGTTGTTGTTGTTGCCATTGTTGCTGTTGCGGAAGCAGCAGAGGATGGAGCTGAACAGACGGTTGCGAGGCTTCTTCACCGTGGGAGGCGTCGCCGTACCTGTAGAAGAGAGGAAGAATAAAGGCGGTTAAATCACAATCATTAAAAAAAAGTAAGTGTTTTACGCTTCCATCCACACAAATAGATTCTAGACAAACTTGTACCAACCGCTACCTGTCCAAGACAATCATCTGTACAGATAACCGTATCCAATGCCTTCAAACACATATTTACAAGAGAGGAAAAAGAAATGTAAAGTTGTTACTTGCCAGTCAGAGCTGATACATGTGTTTTTGAAGTACACAATTAATTTTTCTTACAACTTCTTTTCAAGCCAAATGCCTGAAAATAGAAGCTGTTGCAATACATTTGCCAGTAGTCTGACTGTTGATTTTACACCGTCACCAATCCTCCCCCCACCCCCACCCCTAAATAAAAAAATGGAAGGGAAAAAAATAAGGTTTCCCCAAAAGATTGAATCTCGGCAAACCTTTGTTTTGGAGTTTTTTCTTCCGCCTCTCCCGCTCTTCCCTTTCCCGCGCCAGTACTTTGGCCCTGGCCTCCTTGTGTATGACCCCGAAGCCAGGCAGCGAGTACACATCCACACTCAGCTGTTCCATGCCACCCTCCCACGGTCACCACCACCACGGAGAGTTCTATGGGGGTCAGCGAGTCGGGGGGAACAGGTGGCAGGACAGAAATCCTCAAGTCTCCGCGAGATCACAAAGAAAAAGTCAAATATATCCCATCGGAAAAATTCTCTTTAACAAGACGAGGACAATCGTCCCCGAAAAAGTCAAATGTGTCTAACTGACAACTCCATAATGCGTGGACACACGTCTCCGAGCGCACAACAACCAACCAGTCAAATATCTCTCCTCGGAAACGTCTCCATATTACGAAGACGAGCGCTCCCCGAACTCTACTCCATGCTCGCAGTTTCAGTGGACTCCTCGATGTTTTGCCCCACTTGGAGCAGGCGAACGGGAGCAACGCACGCAATGAAGATAATAACTTGGCAAGAAAATTGATCCTTGCATAATTCTCCTCCCATAAACCACCAGCGAGTGGGACAGGTCTCGCGACAGTGGCAAACACAGACTATAGGGTTCAAATAGTGGTTAGCTACTTAGATAAGTTTTTGTTGTTGTTATTCTCAAACTGTGAAAGTAGGATGAAAATCCAACAAAGCTGTGCTTCTGAATAAAGGGACAAATCCAGTGCACCAAACCCAAAGCACAGATCTTCCAAGAGTCACATGATGCAAGTAGCAGAGTGTCACCAGCTACAACAAATAAAGAAGAAAGGTGTAAAAACAATTTCCAACACGGGTAAATCCCTGCACTATAGAAACAAAACGGGCACGAAAGGCGGGTGGCACAACTGTGCTCTCCACGGACACATCACGAAAGAGCAACACTCACGTCCAAACCACGGGGAGCAAATGTGAGAACTTGGGACCTGATGTATTAGAGCATGGCAGTCCTTGGCCTGTACCCACGTCATGAGAGTCATAAACGCACAATGCAATGTACGGACACGCCAGCACGCAAACCCTCACACGCCATAGACCCTTGACATAACGCACGCAAACCGCCCAAAAAACTTATCTCTCAAACAATGACTAGACCAAAAATAAAACTGCTTTAAAAATACAACTCTCGTGTTCAAAGATAACATTAGACTGTAGCATGTATGACCTAACATAAAGGAACCTATTTATTTGGAGCCTTCGTCCTCCATAACGGTCTGCGCATTAAAAGTCAAGGCCGACAAAAAGATGTCGATAAGAATGACATAAGACTTTCTCGAGATGATTTCGCCTGCTTCACCACTCTAGCTTAGCAGCCTTGTACTTTAACCCTATACGTACGTCGTGTTTTACTATCGTATCCATACGACGCGGGGAACTCTGTGCCACCACTTTCCACAGAGGAAATTTACTCATTAATCCGATCCGTAAGCTTTGCATAGCAGTCTGTCAAAATGATTTTTTGAGAAATACTGAAAGTTTCAAAGAGATCTTCGTACTAGAATATTCTAAAATGTGAGCAATACAACCCTATGGGCACAAAATGACCCCAGTGCGTACGGATATGGTTAACAAGAGCCTTGTACCATAACAAGAGATTTACTAGATCTATGTGGAAACTGTCTACCATATCTAAAGAGATTGAATTCAATTTCAAATATGGAATGAAGGAAAATGGGAAAAATTAATACCCCTGAAATAAGACAACCACTGCAAATTTTAAAAAAAAGGGGGGGGGGTAAATAAAACGACCCCTCCCCCCTTTTTAGTATGCATTG